CAAGCGACTCGACAGCACATAACAACAACAACAACAATCTCAGTACTCACATGGTTACTGGTTTCAAACAACTCTATCTTTTCTCTTCCTCTTTCTATCTATCTATCTACCTACCTACCTACCCCTAAACACAGCTTTCTTATTTTTTCTAATCGCTATGAGTTGCAGGCAACTCAGCAGCACATAACAACAATACAACACTGGTTTACTTACAAAATTTGGATACCTTGTATTTCATACCTTCATTCACACTGTGTTTCATACAATCATTCTCATTCATTATGTTTTATAAAATTAATCATCCTTGTCTACCATTACCCTGTCTTTACAAGTCCCCCCTGTATCTTTCCCATTTCCTTTATCCACTCCCTTCATCTACCAAATTGTACAATCCTGTTAGTTACCCCCTACTTGTCCTCACCTCTCTTCTCCCATCACTCTCCCTCTTGGATCCCCCTACATGTTTTACTAGTTATCATCCTATTTTTACAATTATGTTCTCTATGCAGTATTTGTCATGAGACTGAGTTAGTTCACTCAGCATATAATGTCCTCCAGTCTGTACCAAGTTTTATAGTATTTTTCAAAACTGGTGGGTTTTTTTAACTGCTTCATATTATTTCATTGTAATTATGTACCAGTTTCTCAATCCATTCGGTTGTGGTTGTACATCTGGGCTGTTTCGATGTTCTTGCGATGGTGAATAATGCTGATACAGGTACTGATGTACAAAGCCCTTTCTCTCAGTTCTAATTTCCTTGGAGGATATTCCTGGTAATGGAATAGCTGAGTCATACAGAGTTTTTCTGTTCAGCATTTTGAGGAAACGCCAAGCTGCCTGCCAAAATGGTTGTACCATTTTACAATCCCACCGACAGTGTATGAGAGTTCCCATTTCTCTACATCCTCTCCAACACTTTTTGCCTGCTGTCCTGCTAAACTTTGCCACTGCTACTGGGGTGAGATGGTATCTCCTTGTGGCTTTGAATTGCTTCTCTCTTATTGCCAGTGACTTTGATCAGTTCTTCACGTGTCTGTTAAGAGACAAACAGGGACCAAATTTAGAAGGGCTACTTGGGTAAAGGCACTGGGCTAAGGGTGGGGTCAACACTTTAACTAACGCTTACCCCCACAATAAGGGATTTATCTTTAACTGCTCCACAAATTGCTGTCTGTCAGATACTCCTCTAAATCTGAACATCCAGATTAAGACAGACTAGGAAGAAGGATTGGCCACCCACTTC